CCAAATAGGTGAATTGTAAGGACTCTTTGAAGGTCTTATAACTCCTTCCGAAAGTAATTCCTGTATCTGTCGTTCTACCTCTTCCCTCATACAGACTGGGTAAGGATAACTTTTAGTATATATTGGTTCCTCCGTAGTTGTCCTTATTTCTGCTTGAACGTTTGTCGAGGCAAGTTCGCTACCATCAAGTGGTCCAAAAAGTGGTTTGTATTTATCAATGAGGCTTTCTATTCTTTTCCTGACCTCTGGTGCATACTCTTCGCCTAATACATAATTTGATTCATTTGTTACTTTTTCTTTTAATGGAATTTTAAAACAATTTTTCAAAACTAAAACATTCTCCTTTCTATCAACTAAAGCACCTAACTCTTTAAGGGTGTCGTCTCCTATTATACCATCAAAGGTTTTAAGCGTTGGCAAAACATAAAACTCAACGGGCTCACTTATCCCTAAAAATTTAAAAAATGGTCCAATTACTTTCCTATCTATGTTAATATCTCCTCCCACTGATCGAACTTTTATTGGTTTTTCTAATAGTATGCTACCATGTGATAAGTGTGGGTTGCAAAAGTTCTTGTTAGAACCCGTGTCGATCAAAAAACACAAAGTACCGCCATTAACAGAAGGGTATTCTATATAGGGTAAGCTTGATGGCCTTCCCCCATAAAATTTACTTCGCCTACAGTTTCTTCCTGACAAGAGTCTCTCTCCAGCCCATTTTCAGCCATGAGGTCCTCGTCAGAAAAAGTTTCTATGTGATAAAGTTTTGCCTGTTTATGCCCTGTTCTTTCTTCATAAGCGCCTCTTTTTTCAGCTGTCCTAGGATGGTTAATGTAATTTACGCGACGAGATTGTATTGTCCTATCAATATCGATTGGTTCGTGTTTTATGGCCGGATACCGTGGAGGTAACGCTGGCTTATTATAATTCGCATGTTCATTTACCCGAAATTTAGAATTATTATTATTATGCTCCCAATTTCTAGGCTGAGAATTTTTATTCAGCCATCCCGATCGCTTAGGGAATGATTTTGGAGGTCTTGAAGGCCCAGGACGATAAGTCGTTTCTGTGGAGATTGAATCATAAGCCTTCGTCTTCGAATAAATTATGTTATTTCTCATGGTCAGATTTTGTAACTCCAAACAAGCGGAATACGCTTCAGGCAACGTTCCTGGCCGCTGTATTATAATCATACGGGAAAGCTCTGGTTTTAATCCGCGTATGAATATGTCTAACGCTCTATTCCTGTATGTTCCTACTAAGGCTTTGATCGTTTCCTCACTGTGGGACTCTGTTTTTAATTTATTAATGATGAGTGAAAGTTGATGGTTGACTGTCGAATAAAACTCATTTACGCTTGAAGATCCCTGGGACAGCTGGTTGAGCTGATGTTCCAGAGTTTGAATATCCCGTTTATCAGCGTAGTGCAGGGAAAGTATTCTTTTTATTTCCGTCCAATCACTGTCAAATACATTGTAGGATACCAGGGCTGTGTCGGCAGCGCCCGTAACTTTTTGACGGACACTTTGTATAATTGCTCGATAAATAGGTTTGTCCCTAACTATTTCAAAGTCCTTCAGTATAGTTTCCACTGAATGAACCCAGGAAATATACTGAGTGGGATTGCCTTCAAAGGTTCTTAACTCTTTCACACTGTCGGGGAGGCGACTTATATCTTTTAACTCTGTTTCAGTCCGCGGTCGTTGAAGAGATCCTTCGTCGGTGACCAGTGGTGGTATCGCGGCCACCTGGCTATTTTCTAGACGCTCTATTCTATCCAAGACATTTCCTAAAGCATTGTTGCTCAAACTAGCTTCTATCGTCCCTATCCTGTTTTCTATCGACTTCATCTGTTCCATAAACCGATTTATGGCTCCAGTCATGGTCGTTACCGTGGCCCTAAGTTCTTCCATTACTAATTGTTGACAAGGGGGAAAAATAAAAATATTCACGTACCTGTTATGTCCTTTATGAAGAAGGTCCTTCTTGTTTTAACTTCACTTTACTTTTTTATATAAAAAAAAATCTTCTTTATATTTATTCTTTTGTATTCTTCTTCTCTTCTTTTTATAAAAAAAATTTCTTTATATATCAATTTTATTATTTTTTAATTTTTAATTCTTTTTACGAAGAAGATCCTTTTTGTTTTCACTTCACTTTACTTTTTTTATAAAAAATTCTTCTTTATATTTATTCTTTCTTAATTTTCCATTTATTTTTGTATTCAACTCTTTCTCTTTTTTTATATACTTTTATTTCTATATACTTTTTTATTTCTCAATTTTATTATTTTTTTGAATTTTCAATTTTTTTTTTTTTTGGATTTTATCCTTTTTTAATTTTCAATTCTTTTTTGAATTTTTATATTTTGGTGAGCCTTGGCTAGGCAGCGCGACGCGACCGTTTAAAACCCTTTTACTCCTCACGGAAGGACCGTATTTCTCCGGTTTGGAGATCCACTTTTATGATCGTGGATACCTACTGAGGTACGGTTTACTTCACTTTCGCCTCGGTAACCTACGGTTATATGTTTCGGTTGGATAACTATCAGGAATACCGGATTAGCGAAGGAGGAGTTAGATTTTGTGAATTAATTTATAACTCACAGGACCACTAAGCACTTAAGTCAGGGTCCCTGCTCGGGCGCCAGTTAAAGGATTTTACACGATCGCGAATAAAAAAATTAATTCCAAGGCGCTTCCAACTGCGCCTGATTAAATAAAACACGGATATTTAATTCTTTAACAATTATAACGATTCACAATTTAATGATACTCAAAATAATTAATTCACACTTTAATGATACTCAAAATAATTAATTACATAGAAGATATTAATATTTAATGAACTGTACTCGAAATAGCCAAAGCCAAGACTGCCGGTTGCCTTCCAACTTTGTTGCCTCGATGGTTCTATTGATTCCGTTCGACCAACACGCGCCAGTATGCAGGTGCTGATACTGCAGAAAGAATTTCTCATCGCTTGCAATATCGAAATTGGATCGGAAGCGCGAGTTGCAATCAAAATTAAATGAGCTTAAGTTGCAGAAGCGACAGTGTCGCCAATGTCGTTAACTTGAACAATTCAACATAAGTTCGTAAACAAATAACTCATGTGAGCTGTTTGATTGTGAACACAAAACTTCGATCAATACATGTTTGATCACAACTTTATCGTATGACTTGAGCAACTCGAATGAACATGTTACATCTGACCGACTGATTGAGTTTGATTGTATTTCCACTGTGTGTGATCAAGCCTACTCAATCATACTCATTGCAGCCCTCTGGTAGGGCATATCAATCACCTGAATTCAATTATTTTATTGTTTGCATGTATGCATGGCTCAATAAGAAAGCACCTCTGTGCTAGAGTCTTATAGTGTCAAATAGACTTTAAAATATGCAACAGTTGGCTTTGTTTATTTCAATATTTTTTTACAACATTTTTATATTGGGAAAAACCCGCGAAACAAGAATGGAATTTCGGGGTTATTCCATAAGATGGAATCTAAAATAGTAGGAAATACAGTTTTATCACAAAATTATACAATTTGTCGTCCATTAATGTCGAAAATTTGCATTTATTTTGCAACCAAGTTTGAAATATTCAAAACAATACACACACATACACAAAATGTGTATATGTTTTGACAGAATAAGGGCACCAAAAGAAAAAAATGTATTTGGGGAAAGCTCTGTTCTACCTTCTGTCATTGTACAATAAGAAGGTAGAACAGGTTCGTAAAACTACAGCTATGCCCGCTTCCTGAGGCTATGCCCGCTTCCAGTCAGAATTATTCAAAATTATATCCAACAAGTTGTTTTCATTTATTTGATATATTTTGTTAAGTTCAAAAAATAAGTCCAATAGCGCGAAAGATGAATTAAATGACTGGATTTTTTGGTTTGTAATATTAACATTGCAATTTAAGTTTCTTTCAATCATTTTTATTTTTCAAAACAACAAATGCATACACAAAATTGGCAGAAATTGGCGGGCACACTTAGAAAAAAATTGTAATCAGCTGGGAGCTCTACCTTACCTTTTTTTATTGTACCATGCCTTCTGTAATTGTGCCATGCATGTATATGTATTGTTTTGAATTATAAACTAAATAATTTTGAAAATAGTTACAAGTTACTAGCTATCGAAATCTTCCTTTCATATAACACATTGAAAAGGGGAAAATCTACAACTTTAATGTGAAGTTTCATATTTGCCCATGCAACTAGGAACTAACATCTTATTATTATTATTATTATTAGAATCCACAAAATTGTTGTGTACATTAGTTTCTGGTTCGCATCGAACGATGTTGGAATGAATTGGCATATGTGCTAAGGTGACAATACATAAAACGCTTTTTTTCTTTACCCAAAGGTGGAGGGTATTAAAAATTCGTTCTGGCCGAACTAATTATTTTTTATTTGTTTTGTATGAAGAAGGCAGCGGATGACTTAAGCCAGTCAAAAAAAGTTTTTTTTTATGGCTAAAGTAAATCCAAGCTTAAATCGGGGCTTCGGCGTAAAAATACAACAACATTTCATATATAATTTTCGTTACACAATGTATTTTTTCATTTCATGAGAATGCAGAATTATGTGAAATAAATTTCCAACTTTTTACTTGTCCATAGAAACAAAAAATTTGTGTCTTTTCCATTGGCATAGTAATTGCCTTAAGCTGGAAATACATAAAGCGCTTATCTGGCTGGTTTAAGTCATCGGCTGGCTTCTTCGGAAATGAACAAAGGAGCCCAGGGCCAAAATCGAACTAAGTCAACCTAAAACTCCTTTGTTCATCTACGAAGAAGCCAGCCGATGACTTAAGTCAGCCAAATATGCTCTTTATGTATTTCCAGCCTTATATTATTTATTGCGCCATACGACAAAGCCAACCTGTTTCACAGGGTGTATCTTTGAGTTATCGTTGTAGTCGTTTTTGCCGTACCTAGTCCCGATAGTTCTGATCTCTTTAGTGAAGATGTTCAATTCTCTCATGTCTCATTCGTAAACAACAGAGTACCCGGAGTCTTTGCTTTCTGTTTATTTTTTATCAAGCATTGCTTTTTGGCCTTTATATTCGCTTCGTTGAAACGAAATAGAAAATTTCGAAGATTCTATAACAAAATTCTCAACGTTTAAATTTTAAATATGAGCAATCCCCAGGATGAATTGTGTCCACCACCATCGGAAGATGACGAACTGACATTACCACGTGCTAGCATTAACAAAATAATCAAGGAATTAGTTCCATGTGTGCGTGTTGCAAACGAAAGTCGCGAACTTCTCTTGAATTGCTGCTCTGAATTTATACACCTCATTAGTTCCGAAGCTAATGAAGTATGCAATGTTAGAAATAAGAAAACTATTAATGCCGAACATGTTTTGGAAGCGCTCGATCGTCTGGGATTTAAAGATTATAAACAGGAAGCAGAGGCGGTGCTCAACGATTGTAAAGAAGTTGCAGCAAAACGGCGTCGACAAAGCACGCGTCTTGAAAATTTGGGCATACCAGAGGAGGAATTACTCAGACAACAGCAGGAACTTTTTGCCAAGGCTAGAGAGGAACAAGCCCAAGAGGAGCAACAACAGTGGATGAGTATGCAAGCTTCATCGGTACAACAAAGTCGACAGATGCAAGAGGATGATGACGAAGACGACGATGATTATTAGAAGCGTGCCTATGATTAAGAACGAATAGTACTAAGAATTAAGTAGATTTACAGTTTCTATAGATAAATTTGCGTAAAATCGATTTTGGTATACGTAAAAAATGATGTAGAAGTCACATTTTTCTATGATTGAAAGAAAGAATTTAATAAACTTGCATTCATTTGTAAATATATATTTAAAAATGTATTTAACTTTCATCCATGCCTAGTCCTATTTCTTAAATTATCATTTGCACCTCATTTAAGGCACAGACATATTTTTTTTTTTAATTTTTTTTACAGAAGAGGCCGAGGGTTTTAATAATAAAATAATTTTTCTTATTTGGGTTTATATAAGTATTCAATAAAACTGGCATTCATTCGTAAACAAATATTAAACAATTTATTTGAGTTCTATACTTAGTACCATATCTTAAATAGCGTATTTCTTATACTTTATTATATAAAATAAGAAGCCAAAAGATATTTGGTTTTAATAATAAAGCTATTTTTATTTGGTTTTACATATGTTTTAGATACTAGCTTTCTTTATCATCCAATTTTATATTTGCTATTTGTCGTGAGATTAGTTCAGGCAATTTGTCGCCATTGGGTCTTTCGTCATCGTCATATTCACCTGGTTTATATTTTCCCAACAGCTCACTGTGAGTTTTCCAAAACTTTTCACGTATTAAATCTTCGTGAATAGGTACAATTAATTGCCTTTTAGCATTGTCTTTGTTCACTACTACCTTTTTCCTTAATAATATTGTACCCTTTCGGAACATGGCAGGTAGGTCGTTATAGTTTATGCCAAATCGTGAAAACAGCAATTCGTTTTTATCTGCTGAAAATGTTCCCCTTAATTCCGCTTCTGCTTGTTGATTTGTTAAACCGGCTTTTAACACTAGATTCCAAAATGCTGTATTGTATAGATTGTTTATATGAACATCGGCTTGACGCCAACTCAAATAATCGCGAAGATTTTGATCTGAAGGATATAAGACAACTCGTCCATCGAAACATGGTGGATATTGTAATTTCTTATCACCCATCCAATTGGGCCAGTTCATGACATATGAGGAGGTAAACAGGCTCGTCACATATGACAGCAATTTAGAGGATCGCCTATTGAAGACATTAGTTTCTTTGCGAAACACAAATGAATACTCATCGCTTTGTCCGTAAGATAATATTATATCGCGAAATTCTTCCATCACAGTCTGAGCGGCATTGTTCATAAGATTCAAGGCTAGAATTATAAGTCAATTAATTAAACAGATGTCTTTGTAACAATGTTCGTTACCTTTTTCATCATTGGGCTTTTCAAAATCATGTACTTTTGAGAATTTATGGAACCCCTTTCCATCAACACGAATCACAATCCAGACATTTGGTAGTATACTATCATCCCGTTCGTAATCCTTGACATATTCATATCGACTACAGGCCATTGAAATTCCAATGTTTAAAAAACGTTTAGTTTTTAGTTGAAGATTTAGTGAATTAAATAATTTAATTGATAAATTCATTAATTATTTAAATAGAGTAAAAATAAACAAACGTGGCTAGAAATTGTACACATAACAGCTGATTCTTGTTATTGAAAACAAAAACAAATAAAGAAAGTATGGTAACATTTACTTTTACGAACAGTGTTCCCAAGAACTCAAAAAGTGTACAAGAATGTAAGAAATTTCACTACGATAATCGATTTTTCTTTATCATGTATGAAATTATCAAAGATCCCTGAAGGTAATTTTGTAACAGAAGGTAATTTTGTAACATATTTGTAACATAATATTCCAAGAATCCACTTATTTTGGAAAATGGGTTATCGTAGTGATATTTGTTTACATTATTATTAATTTAAACTAATTTTTTTTCATAAATTACAGCATTTAATTTTGGGCCACACGCGAAAAATCTTGAAATGACTATTCAGAAATTAAAAAAAAAAAATAAATAAATAAAATACATTTTAGTATTTAAATTAAAGATAATATTTTACGTGTTCCTACAAGTTGAGTAAAAAAAAAAGTAAGAAACGGCTAAAGTCGTGCGGAGCCGACCATGTGATACCCTTCAAAACTCCAATATGTTAGAAGCCCCTTTATGTCCATATCCATTTTGGAAGATAACGCTTTTTAAATTATGTCTCGGAGCACAGGCCTAGCCCTTCAGAGCCTAACCCTACCATTGTGAAATTTTTCGTGAGAATCGGTCGATAATTGCAATCTATATATAATAACCCCAACCTGTGTTGTAAGGTGAAAAAATATTACAAAATGTATACTTCAATATTACAAGTCTAACTAAAAACAAGTAAGCAAAGGCTACAGTCGAGCGGGGCCGACCGTTGAATACCCTACAACACTATAATAAACGATACAGTTTATATAGGCGAGATACTCGAAAGAATTCTACAAGATATTGTGACAAATAATAAAAGAAAACCATCAGATTTCGTTCTCTAATTTTCGAATAATAGCAACTTAAACTAATTTGCTCATTTCCAATTTATTTGTAGATGTTGCACGTAAATGGTCTTCCTAGATCTGGAACCAATATTTCCCAAAGACCTATAATCTCTCAGAAGTGGCAAAAGATTAACATTTATTGTTGGTTTTTGACTGAAACGCATCTCTATGAGATACAGACATTTGATTTGAGACATCTACAAAAGTTTGCAAACTATTTTACACATTGAATATTTTTGGATGGCCATCCAAAACTATTTGGCTTTTGCAATTTCCGGTAATCTCCATTCAAATGCGCGTAAGGATCGGGCGATAATTACGACTTGCTGACAATTTTGCAGTTTTTTTGTCCATTTCAACCCCCAAATATATGGCGATTATCTCCAAAGAGAGTAGGCTTCTATTCTGACCCTCATCTTATCCCCATGCAAAATTTCATAATGATCGGGCCATAAATGCGATCTGTATATGATATCCTGATATCCTAACTACTTAGTTTTGTTAGCTATAAAAATATTACCAAATGTTTAATTCAAAATGAAAATATGCCAAAAATATGACAAAATTGAAAAAATATGAGAAAATATTACAAAATCAATATTTTCATCTTTAGAGAGATATTTTTATGCAATTTTTTAGACGTTTTTTCTTCCCTGCCAAGAGGCCATTTTAAATTAATGAGAACTGTCGAAATCAGTTCAGCCGTTCTCGACATATAAGAGATCTTTCAAGCATATCTTCTTTGATAGACATATATATCGCACATATTTTGCTATATATCATATTTGTTGGATGTTAACATCAATGTATAGATCAGAAGTAACCTTGTCATGGCTTTGTGATTTCGCCGGGATTTAAAATATTCGCGGTTTAATGAAAAATTTTGAATTTTTTCAACACAAAAGATATGGTCTATTTTACCCGCTAAATATTATCCAATGACCACCCAAATTGGTAGGCTTCTTCCCCGACCTAAACTCTAGCTACATGCGAAATTCCGCGTCGATTGGTCTATAATTGCGACCTGTAGAGCAACTGCAAAATCAAGAATTTTTTTAGTTTTTGGTCCATTTCAACCCCTAAATATTATGCGATCATCTCCAAAAGAAATAGGGTTCTATTCTGACCCTATCCCCACCTCCATTCTAAATTTCGTGAAGATCGGGCCATAATTGCGACCTGTAGCGTGATTACAAATTAACATGGACAGACGGACAGACGGACATACATAGCTAGATCGACTCAGCTCGGCGAGCTAGGAAGATCCATATATACTTTCCTATATGGGAAATCAATATTTCGAGGTGTTACATAAATTCTGGCCCAATCAAACTTATAATACCCTCAACACATAGTGTTGTAGGGTATAAATATGAAAAAATAAAAAAATGTTACAATATACTACAAAATCTATATTAACATCATTATTGGCATCTTTTTATGCGATTTTTTTAGTTTTTATAGATTTAGATTTTTACTAAGAGGACAACCATTCTGAGATATAATCCTTTTAGCTAACATCCCCTTCCTTTGTATATACACATTGTATATATTTCGCTATATATATCCGAAATTTGACTTTTATTTGACACAAATATTATGGTCTATTTAACCTACTAAATATTACCCGATGACCATCAAAATTGGAAGCCTTTGCCCAGCCCTAAGCTTTAGCCCCATGCTAACTTCCGCGTGAATTGGTTTTTCAGTTTTTGGTCTATTTTAACCACTAAATATTATGCAATCATCTCCAAAAGCAATGGGCTTCTATTCTATCCCTAGTCCCATTCTAAATTTCGTGAAGATCGAGCCATAATTAGGACCTGTAGAGTGATTACAAATTAACATGGATAGACGAACGGACATACACTTCTAGATCAACTCAGCTCGGCGAGATAGAAAGATCTTATTTGGGAAACCAATATTTCGAGGTGTTACATAATTTTTGGCCCAATCAAACTAATAATAATATAATAATAACTTGGTGTATTTATACCGGTTTTTTCTTTATGATATCGAAAATAGCAGAACTTGAAAATTCTTCCATGTTCCTCAAACGAGCATATAGAAACATTTCTTGAGTTGGACAATGTTGCCAATAAAACAGCGTTGCATTACGATTCTTATAATCATAATCAGCATTTGGCCTCTGTGGCAACTCTTGAACGCACCAATTTTAGGCGATTTTATTGTATTGATTGTTAGAGAACACGTGTTGGTGTACCGTGTCCAAATAAAACCTTGTTCTTTAATAAATAAAAATAATAATAAAACTAACTGGCCAAGTCAAACAAATAATGGTAGTAATGAGCCAGGTTAAAAAACCTAAACGTGAGTTGTTCAACGCCGAGGATATTGCTGCACAATTGGAATCGGACAATGAAGGCGGTGCCGACGACAGTGCCGAACAGGAGGATGAAGTGCAAAAAGAAATCAAAATTATTGCTCAAGAAGTGAAAATTGTAAAATCACTGGCCTGCAATGATCTTAACAAAAGGAATAAACAAATGAAAAAGTTACGCAGATGGCTGCAACTACGCTCCCAGTCATCTTTTCCCTTTCAACAAGAGGATTTTATGAGAATATGGAAGGGTCTCTACTATAATATGTGGTATTCCGACAAACCGCTCGTGCAAGAAGACTTGGCCGAACAGTATGGCAAACTGCTGGATTGCTTTGAAGGAAATTTGGAAATGAGTGTGAATTTCTTTGGCGCATTCCTTA